TCACTCCAGGATATTTCCATTACTTCTCCATGATTATGATTATCACTCCATAAAATTCGGTTTATTTCATAAAAGCAGCAATCGGTTCTTTTTCATGATGTCATTTATAGTAACTTGTAAATGTGGAATTAAAACGGAAATGTGAGATAATTAATTACGGTGAACCCTCCATAAGTGCACCCTCTATGAGTGGACCCTCTATAAATGCATCCCTTCATAAATGCACGCTATGCCTCATTCTCAACCTCGGTAATTAGAGATAAATCCACGCCCTTCATACTCTGCACTGCACGGTCTTCTCCCATTCCCGTTCATATAAAACCACCCTCCCTAAATGCACACCCGTGACTTTCACGTGATTTATTTGCTAAATAAATTCGTGTTACATTAATAATATTAGTAATGGAAAATAAAGGATTAAGTAAGTTACTGTTGCTTATAAAGAGTTAAATAATATTTGTGTTGTACGTGAAAATGAAATTATGTGAATTCGCAATCCACATATGTGAAATTCAAATTAGCTAATCAGAATTTCACATACAACATTTACAAAGAGTTATTAGAATAATAATGATAAAAACACAAATGGAGAAAATTATATATACGCGAAATTAAAAAAATCAAGGATTGAACAAAGGATAAAAGATCACGAATTTTTTTAAAAAATTTGTTTAATAAAAGTAGCCAAAAATAAAATAAGAAAATTCTAAAGAATAATTAGGACAAGTTAATTCCCTTGAGCGATACATTAATTCAAAAAAAAATTTTCAGTGAAGCAAACCACAATAAAACAATTTTTTAGTCAACGATAATATTAAATATGCAATAATAATAATTAAAAAAATATTTAAAATCGCATAGTGCACGGTCACAATTAGTGTTGAAAATTCAATGCCCGCGTGTAACATTTAGTGTTGGTTGAGAGTTTCGCAACCGTGCGAAAGTCAAAAGCTTTCGCCATAAGTCGAAACTAGTTTTGATTTTTAATTATTGGCTTTTGATTTAGTTTTGACATATAACTTTTAATTTTAGTTTTGACTTTCGTCCCTTCAAAATAGTTTTGGCGACCAACATTAGTAACATTACACACCAATCAAATTTTAATTTTTGGAGATAGTTTCTAAATTTGTACTATAGTGCAAGTCACTTAGTCGCTGAAATTTTTATTGGCTGTGTAGAAAAAAACAAATCATAGAATTAAAGCCAAGACTTTTACCTACAATCCAATGATTTCATTTCATTGATATGTAACGTTACCATAGAGGAACGATCCAGATAGCGTGTTACACAAAAAATTATTAAAAATGAAAGAATTGAAATTTTTGAATTTTTGAATGGCCGATCTTTATCACGTGATAATAATAATAATGAAATTTTACAACTGAGAACGCATTGCTTTTTTATGTATTACGCAATCATGCTACGCAAGATCAAAAATTTATCTATTTTAGCATCATGTTGACATTAAAATTAAGTTGGTTTATTTTTTGGTCTATTTATGTATATGTTTTTTGGCCACAAAATAGTTTATTTTATGAAAACATCATTGTACAAAAGGATGCTAGGATGTTTTGCATCCAACTATTTTTAGGAGGTCTTTAGCCCTTGACGATCTTCAAAAAACACATGACTAAATTTTTTTATTGGAATATTTTTTCTCAAAATTGGCATCATTGCACAAAAAGTTCTGTGACTAAGTGACTTGCACCATAGTTAAGATTGGATTTGGGAAATTAATAAGCAGGGTTATCTTCCTTTTCCATCTGTCCATTTTCTTCTTCATCAACGAATATTTCATCATTTTCTGATGGTCCTCCTCCTGAAAGAAAATGGTGAACAAGACTTGATAATTGAGCACTAATAGAGTTGAGAGTAGGTTCTCCTTTCTTTTTGATCCAATCTGATACCTCTTTGGCTTTCTTGATTTCTTTGCAATTGATCTCATCTGATGAGGAATACTCCACATCAGTATGTGTACATTTTTGCTTATTTGTTGTAACCAATGAGTTTGATGCTTGAGTTGAAGAATCTTGATTTTTGATAGGTGTGTTTTGTTTTCTGTCAATGTTTTTAAGTACTTATTTCTGATTGATAGTTTTTTATCAAAATTTGAAATAACTTCAGCTTGAATGGTGAAATCTTTTTTTAGCTCTTCAAATGAATTTTGTAATTTTTTAAGCATCTTTATATGTTCTGCTGAGACATGGTTGTTATTGGGTTCATGCATAGAACTGCCATGGGCTGTTCCCTTTTTTTTTTGTAGGTGAGAATCATTCCATGGTCTCATAGGTTGTTGTTGTTGTTGTCTTGCAAATTGTTGTTGTTGTTCATGATGTGATTGTTGTGATTGTTGTTGTTGTTGTGGTCTTTGTGCTGCTTCTGCATAGGATTTTGGAATCCTGTGGTGTTGATCAGGCTGAAATTTGGTATATAGTTTTTGGAGTTTATCATCTTTTGCAGACTGTTGTTTTTTATTTGGGCAAGCTGCTGCCATATGATCACGGTTGCCACAAATGTGACAGGTCTTCACATCGTCAGTGCACCAATAGAGTACATTCCCCTCATATGAATATTTGGTTTTTGCTGCGGCAGCTAGGTCCTTATCAGACTCGAAATTGATATAAGCATAATTAAGCTGTTTATAATTATTAGGATTTCTTGGTATGAATATAGAGTGGGCATTGATATCCTCAAGAAAATCAATGATATCTTTTGCTTGGCAGTTGGTTGGCAAGCCAGCAAGCTTGAAACAATATTTTTGTCTTATTTTGTGTTGTTCTGCAGTAAGTGTACAGTCAAACCTTGCCACAGTGAATTCATGGTTCCAGCCAAAAAATTCGTTATGACAAGAAATTTGCTGTGGCCAAATTGGTGATGATCAACAAAAAATTTTAATAAATAATGATTATACAATATGAATAAATAGATAATACATACGGAAATTAAAATTACTTATTGAAATAAGATGTAATATTTGGTTGTATTAGTTTTTCATTATTTAATAATTTCACTT